GCCAAGGAGGCCCCTTAGGTCGGTGGACTAAGGGAGGCTTCCTAATCAGCCCCTGACTTGGGGAAGTGCCCCAAGTGCCTGTATTGGGTCTAGCACCCATTGGACGATCAGGGCTGTGTTCTCCAAGGTGCGCAGAGCCAGAAGTGAGTCCAGAGCCTTGGATGGTGGCAGCGGGAACCCCAGGCCAGCGGGTGTGCTCCAGGGAAGGGGTCGGCCGGACGGGAGGCACCCTAAGGGAGGCACTCGGAGCCTGGAAGGTGGTCGGCGCAGGGAGGTGGGCGGCTCAACGCAGGAGCGCCCCCTACTGGCCCGCCACACCCACTTTCTTGATTCTATTTTCCTTTCCATCTCCAGCCCACTGCAGTTGTATTCTGCCAGCCGTATTCCTTTGTAGCCCTCATCTGTCTCCTGATCCCCAACACTTCTCCTGCTCCTTCAGTATCCATGCTCAGATACCTCACGCTCACCTACACCCTATGGCCTTTGCAACCTTAGCCCTTACAGACCATTTTCTGACACCTCCATGTTCCCCTGTCCCCTGCCTGGCTCTCAAAGGATAACTGATGAGCCACCACTTTCCCTGAATACAGCCTGGTTTCATCTCCTTTGCAAGCCATGCAAGACAGCCTCCATATTTCCTGAGGCATCCTCACTTCCATCTGTCAAGGTTTCCTTGAACCAGCGGGCATCTTGCTCATGGCAGTCAGAGGTGTCAGCTGCACAGACAAAGTTGATGATGGAAGCTTTCTTGAATAACAGCAAAACGCTCATGAGATTGAAAGCAGAAATGCACAGGACCCTTTCTACCACCCCAAACAGTGCACCAGCCATGAGAAAATTATGAGGAATGACAGCCTCGAGAAGAAAGTGGCCACAGGTTTGTTTTGTCTGGTTTTGGGGCAAAAAGGTAATATCAAGACATCAGTCCCAATTCTCAATCTCAGGCTCTGTCTGCCCCTATCTGCTGCTCTTGCATAGCTTCAAATTGACTCTCTGAGCTATAACAGAAAGGGTTTTGTTGTTCTGTAACAAAGTCTGCCTCCAAGATTACAGGGCAGATTTCCTGGTATCCCTTTGGAAAGATGAGATGGGGAAATGGTCCCTCAGGCCTGGGTTCTGCTAAAAGAAAATCTTTAAGAGATAAATGACCTCCTTTCTCATTGCATTTTACTAGCAAGCCCCTGTCTCTGAAGGACAGTTCTTCAAAGCAGACCCTGGGTTCCCCATATTACATTTTGCTATCATGTAATACAGTGGTATATACTTTCTGTCACAACCCAGTATAACATCTCTGTGTACTCTCCCCCCCCGCCCCCCGATCCCAGTCTTTCCATGGTCCTTTCCCTGAAACTTTTTCAGAGGAAAACCCCCACATATTTTAACAGGTAACCATTAAAATCTGGAAAAACTCTCTCACTTCGAGGGTGGGGAAGCACTAGAACAGGTTAACCAGAGAGCTTCAGATATCTCCATCCTTGGAGGTTTTTAATGCCCGGCTCAACAAAACCTTGACTGGGGTGATGCAGTTGGGGCTGGTCCTGCTTTGAAGCTCAAAGAAGGCCAAGATCAAAGAAGTCAGTACAGACTTTGTAACGTGTCTTCATTGAGCATGAACAAACTAAAGTTTCCTTGGCTTGTAATTTGCCCACCGGTTATCTCCTTTCCAAACTCCACGTTATTTTTTCCAAATAACGGGGCACTGGAGCTTTTAAAAGAAGGAAAAAATGAATGGGAGGTAAACCGCAGTGTCCCTTCCAGTCCTATTTTATGTTGATTTCACACATGGGCACAATGATGTATTTTGTTCCCATGCTTTAGCTGAAACTTCCCATAGAAAATAGCCAAATGGTTTAAGATTAGCAAAGGTAAAGTCTACTGGAAATGCAATCCCATGTGGGTTAGTGTCAAGCAATCTAAAGTAAAGGCATCACCGATAATAATGGAAATGCAGTCCCTGCTCCAGTGAGTTCAGTCTTAGGATAGGCTGATGCCAAAATGTAATACCACTTCAGCTCCCTGTAGCAGCCCAGCATTGCAGGCCTTTTCATAGCCAAGAACCCATTAATACAGGAACTGTTATCCAAACACATCCCTTTCCATCTGTGTCTGCATAGCATCCCCACAGATGTGCCGGTAACAGCTTGACCAAAAAGTAAATACCAGGAAAGAAACTGTGATTTTACAAGTCTAAACAAAGTGAAGTCAGTACCGTACGATCAGTCTCAGTCAACATCTCTAACACAGTTTGCAGATAATCCCTTTAAGGAGTTGACATCCCCTTAAAACTGAGAGATTGTTGAAAATGCCCTGCAGCACCTAAAAGGAAGATAGGCCTGAATGTATGGATCGGTGGTACAACTGGAGAGGGGTTGGGGGGAAGGAAGGGAACAACTGGGTTGTGGTCAGCCCCACTTCAGCCAGTATTGCCCCATGCATTAAAGCAGCCCCAGGAGCAGACCTGCCCTGCAATGCCTCTGGTCTGGATTTGAGACCCGGAGCCACTTTTGGGTGGAGCCCCAGTTTTAGTCTGCATACCACAGGCTACAAATGCATGCATTTTCTCCAGCAGACACTTCAGAGCAGATGTATGAGGTTCTTCCTGTCTTTTGCCCTCAGTATCCTAACCTTCCTCATCTTTCATATGACTGACTTGGAGCAACAGTTATAAGTCCAGTTTAAGGCTAGTTAAACAGCATAATGCTCTTAAGGAAAGGGACTGTATCTCTGCAATGTCAAATTTGTACAGAGGGCAGAGTGTTGTTATGCTGTCCATAGTCTGATCATGATTGCAAAACAGTCACATTTGCAGAACTCCTAATACACTGTTTGTGTATCAAATGACCACAGCTCGATGAGGGTTGATGCCTTCATCAGGTGGGTCTCCAACACAGCCATGTACAGACCGAACATCCAACACAACAGGCATCTCCCCACCTGCAACCAGCAAACCCCTGCCTGGGTATGAAGCCTTATTAAACACATGCACCCTGAAGTGGCCTTGTTGGGGCTTGGGAGGATGCTAGGTGGGTGCAATTTATAGAGCCGGGGACCATGGGGGGAGAAGGCTCCGCTGCTGATCAGCTGCGGGGACCATGATGAATGATCTGTTCCCTGGCAATGCACCCCTGGCATCAGCTTTAGAGATGCCAGAAAACACCATCCTCATTCTTGTATGTAATAGCTCTCAGTAGACCTGTCCTATATGCATTTCTCCAGGACCTTTTTGTACCTGGCTATACCCTGCCTCATCAACCTCCTGTGGCAATGAAGTCCACAATTTAACTAGGTTGGAAAAAAAAGGACTTCTTCTTTTTGCTAAACCTGCCATCGACTAATTTCAGTGGATTCCCTACCTCCCTCCCTCCCCCCAGCCTTCTCATATTCTGCTACTTGTACCTTGTTTCACATCAGAAAGTGAAAGGCAAGCCATTTTTCCCCAACTATAATTAGCTTGATTTTTGTGTAATACCCATCACTTTCCGCCAGTCTTTCCTCCCTTAAATAGCTTAATGACACTATCCCGGATCTGCTTGGTCTTTACCCCATAAACAATGGGGTTGGACATGGTGGGCAAGAGCATGTAAAGGTTGGCCAAGATGATGTGAACATCTCGTGCGATACATGATGTGAACATGTGGTGCGATACACCCCCGAAATGGTGTGTGAAGAAAGCTGCTGTGTAGGAAATGGTAATAGTAGCAATATGGTCTGTGCCAATGCTAAAGGCCTTCCTATGAGCTTCCTTGCAAAAGAGGCTCACCACAGCCCTGAAGATCATAATGAAGGAGATTAAGATGCAGAAGATGTCAAAGCCCCCAATTAACATGGCAACCATGAGGCCATTGATGGCATCAACCCTGATGCTGGCACAGGCCAGCTTCACCACAGTCATGTGGTCACAGTAGGTGTGAGGGATGACATTGATGTGGCAGTACCTCTTGGCCAAGTAGGGGAAGGGCATGATGAGGATGACCCCTCTGAGGGAAGTGATCAGCCCCATGGCAGTGATGACTCGGTTGGTCAAGATGGTGCCATACCTCAGTGGGTAGCAGATGGCAACATAGCGGTCCAAGGCCATGAGCATGAGCACGCCAGACTCCATCCCTGTGAATGTGTGAATGAAGAACATCTGGACCAGGCGGCATCAAAGTCAATCTCTTTCAGCTCGAACCAGAAGATACACATCATCTTGGGCACTGCAGATGTGCCCATTGCAATGTCAGTGAGGGAGAGCATGGAGAGGAAGTAGTACATGGGCCTGTGCAAGGCTTCTTCAATCTGGATGAGGTAAAGGAGACCACAGTTTCCCACCATGGCAATGAGGTACATGGAGAAGAATGGGATTGAGATCCAAATATGATCTGCTTCCAGGCCACGGATCCCATTCAGGATGAAGATGGAGGGGGTGACATGAGTGAGATTGAAACCTGTCATGGCAGTTGTGTGATGATCATGTTCCCCACTATCCCACTCTCAGTGGGTTTTGATCTCTAGGAGGAAGAGAACATACTGACAACAGCAATGACAAATATTTCCATAGGTCCTTCTAAGCGGGCATCCCAAGACCTAAGGGACATTGCACACTGTGTGAATGGGTGGCATGCATACCTGAGTTAGAGAGTTTCCTTTAAAACCCAATGGTTTAAGACCCTCAATGCTTTCACACTTTTGGCTGATATTTTCCCCACTGTCTTTTTGTGAAAACAATATTTCCTGTGAAAAAATATTTCAGTGACAAGTCTATTCATGTGCTTCTTTGAGGGAAATGATGTAAAAACATGGGTACACAGTGGCTCTTTTTTTTCCTTTTCACCCTTAATTGTTTTTTCCTAAAGACTGAATCACAGCACAAAAAGGTAAGGGACTTGCAGGCAACCTATGTTTGCTATTGCCACACCTTTTTCAGGATTTCCACAGAACAACACAGTTATGTAATATTAGACTTTTGTTCAGCTTAGTCAAGCCTTGATAAGACAAGGCCACACAATGCTGTGTAAACAGCAGAGTGGGCAGTAAAAATGGGAATGAAGAGATGTTATATGACTGCAATTGTTACAGATTTATGTCAGCGATGTCTGTATCAATGAACTGTCGACTCTGGCTATTTAAAAAAACAAAACACTGCTCTATTCTGGCCACACGTCTGTTCTACCAGTTGTTGGGTTTTTTTTTTCTTTAAATCATGTTCTTGGACATCATTGCAGTCCTTAAGGGCAGGTCTGTGGCAGGTAAATCTCTCAGGATATTATTCTTCAGCAATGGCTTGGCTATTACAGTTAATATCTTTATCAGTCATCTCTGCTTTGCTCCACAGATGTTAGGGGGAGCCAGGGCAAAACAATCATAGTTGGTAGGGTCGGAAGGGACCTGAGCAGATCATCAAGTCCAACCCCCTGCCATGGGCAGGAATGAATGCTGGGGTCAAAGGACCCTGGGTAGGTGATTATCAAGCCTCCTTTTGAAGACCCCCAGGGTAGGAGCCAGCACCACTTCCCTTGGAAGTTGGTTATAGGTCCTACCTGCCCTGACTGTGAAGTAGTGCTTCCTGATATCTAGTCTGACCCTACTCTCCATCAATTTATGGCCGTTATTCCTTGTTACTCCCAGTAGTGTTCGGGGGAACAGGGGCTCTCCCGTTCCCTGCAGATTCCCCCTGATAAGTTTGTAGACTGCCCCCAGGTCCCCTCAGTCTTCTCCTGTGGAGGCTGAACAGTTTCAGGTCCTGTAACCTCTTCTCGTAGGGCCTGGCCTGCTGCCCCCTGACCATGCGGGTGGCCTCCTCTGGACCCTCTCCGTGCTGTCCACATCCCTCCTGAAGTGCGGCCCCCAGAACTGGACGCAGTACTCCAACTGCGGCCTGACCAGTGTTGCATAGAGGGGGAGGATCACCTCCTTGGACCTGCTCAAGATGCATCTGTGGATACATGACAAGGTGCGGTTAGCTTTCCTGACTGCGTCCTCGCACTGTCAGCCCATGTTCATTTTGGCATCAATAATGACTCCAAGATCCTGTTCTGCCTCTGCACTGGCGAGAAGGGAGTTCCCCAGCCTGTAGGTCTGCTGCTGGTTCTTCCTGCCCAGGTGCAGCACCCTGCACTTGTCAGGACTGAAACCCAACCTATTCTCATCTGCCCTTGTAACCTGTCCAGATCTAGTTGTAGCCTGTCCCTCCCTTCTAGCATTCCCACTTCTCCCCACATCTTAGTATCATCAGTGAATTTGAACAAGGTGCTTTTCACCGCCTCATCCAAGTCACTGATGAAGATGTTGAACACTGCGGGCCTGAGGACCGAGCCCTGGGGGATCCCACTTTCCACATCCCTCTAGGTCAAAAATGGCCTGTCCACCACCACTCTCTGGGTGTGGCCCTCCAGCCAGTTTGTGACCCATCAGACAGTGTAGGCATCGACACCACAGCCGCCTAATTTTTAAATGAGAATGGAGAGAATCAGGGTCCCTTTTTAATACACTATGGGCACATCTACACTTGTGCACATTTACTGCACAGCAATTTAAGTTACAGTACAGTAAACAAAAGTTACAGTGCATTACAGGTGCACGTCTATATGTGCCTGCCCATAATGCACATTATCTATGGTGACTTATGCCAATTTGGGCATAAATTTGATACCTGCAGGATGCAGGTTTCAAAATATTACGCCCAGTTAGTTACTGTGCAGTAACACATGTGTAGATGCCTTATAGTGGAGTAACACTGTGTGTGTGGACTGACTTGGGACTAACTTTAGTCTCAAATCAGCCCTCACACAGTGTTACTACACTTTAATGGCTTCATGTGTGACATTGGCCTGAAAACTACTTACTGTGTAGTAAATGCATGTGTAAATGTGCCCTATGAACACTCTTCAGAGGAGAAGGCCTTTCTGCAACTCTGTGATGCCTGGTACTTTCCAAATAAAACCTTCATTGGATCAAGCATGCGCTGAGACCTGCAGAGGCACTTCTAACATCAGATCATAAGCCCTGCCATTGGGATTGTGTCCTGAGCTGCAGCAAATCTCCTGCCCGCACTTTCTTGATGGTCTCCGGGCTCGTGCAGTTCTCAGGCATTAATAAGACCCTTAGCACATGGTAATTTTGCTTTAAGGCAAAGATGAACTTGGCACCCTTCAGCTCAAAAGCCCTAAGCCTTTCACACAGCCAGCTCCATGGGCACCATATTTTTCACCATTTGCAAGCAGAGCCACAGGGGGAATGAGAGGCAGTGATGCTCTTCAGTTCCCACCCATGTTGATAGAAGTGTTATACATGCATGCAACCGTTACATGATAAAAGCATGGGAGTTGTTCGGAGGTCTGGGAGACTCAACCTCTGTGCCTGCAGCGAGTGGGGTAGATTTTTCAAGGAGTGCCCTGGGCGTTTCCCAAGATCCTTTTCATCCTCTTACTCAACCTGGTAAAGTAAGAGAGAAGTGTATAAACAGGCAGGCTCTTTAGGAGAACAGCTCAGGCAAGAACAGAAGGCAGTTATTTCAGAAAAAGGATCAGGTAAGGAGGACAGTGCCTTGCGGTGGGATGAGGTACCTCTCATCCTGCATTGCAGAGTTTCCTCTGCAAACAGGGCTCCAAGGAGAGGCTTGCAAAGAAATGTCTAGCTGGGTCCCAGCATGCACAGAGCCTGGCTCATTTCCTCTTCGCCCACATCCAAGCTGAAAAGGGCCTAGTTACTAGTCTGGCAGGATGCCCACACTTGATGTATGTCTTAATATTTCAGCAAAGGCTGCACTGAATTCCAAAGGAGACGGAAAAAGCACCAAGTGCCCTGTGGACTTTCTCCCAGCCACATATCAAAGACCTGCTAATAATGAAGGGTGATTAAGGGTTTTTTAAAGGGGAGACCTCAAAAAAATGGTTTATAGGAACTAGTGTTCAGCAAAGTTAATTTGGGGAGCAGGACTACCTCTCACCCTCCCCTGACGCCAGGGGAAACTAGCTGAGTTCTCCAGCACAAAGTCTCCGTAACTTCTCTAACTGCGACTACAGGGGATCCTCACTTCAGAACAAAGTTTGTCCATGGCAAGAGGCTTAACACTTCCCTTGGGCACAGCAGGGCTCTGGTTTTAGACCTCATCAAAGACTTATCTGCTTTCAACCTGCACTAAAAGGTGCCTCACAGGCTTTAGGGGAAACTAGCTGAGTTCTCCAGCACAAAGTCTCCGTAACTTCTCTAACTGCGACTACAGGGGATCCTCACTTCAGAACAAAGTTTGTCCATGGCAAGAGGCTTAACACTTCCCTTGGGCACAGCAGGGCTCTGGTTTCATACCTCATCACTGACATATCTGTTTTTGACCTGCACTAAAAGGTGCCTCACAGGCTTTCAGATTTGGACACCTTTTGGGTGCTCTTCTCCGACCTGCACATACACATATCAGGAAGGAACAGCGAGCACAGGTAATCCCTCTGCTGAGGAAGGGAGCCATAGGAAGGCTGAATATCTAACAACACAGTTCTTTGGGTAAATGTAATATCTTTTATTAGACCAATTCAATTGTTGAAAAAAATTGTTCTTTGCAAACTTTCCTCTACAAACACCCTTCTTCAGGCAAAGGAGAGTTACATCTCATGAGATACTTCTCTAACTTTTGGCTTGTGCTTTGGGAAAGGTAGCAATACTCTTAGATTCCTTTTGCCCATCTCTGTCTCTGATCCTAATCTCCCTGTACCTCAATTTCTCCCTCTAGAAAATGGAAAATGGGGATGAATGCTGCCCAGCTCCTCCCAAGTTGTTGTGGACACTAATTTATTAATGTCTGTCAAATCTTTGAGGCATGTTGGGAGGAAGGCAGTTGTAAAAAATGGGTTTATTAATGCAGCCCAGGATGTCGTTAGCCTTCTTGGCCCCAAGGGCACTTTGCCGGCTCCTGTTCAACTTCTTGCCCCCTGTCCCCACAGGTCCTTTTCTGCAGAGCTGCTGCTTAGCCGTGTAACACAAACTGCCTTCTGCAACTGTCCTTTTTCACTAAAGATTTCACCATGCAAATTTCTAGTAACTTCACTGAAGAGGTATAGGAGCAGAAAGCAAAGGCTGGGTGCATGGGGGAAACAGCTAAACCACAGCCTGTTTCCTGCACTTGGGAGCACAGTGTCATGGGAACGGCAACCTGGCAGATTTACGGTCCCAATCTCTCTTACTGGTCTGGGTCCCTGGCTAAACCCCAACTCCCATAATCACCCAATTTTTCCCCTCTGGCTGAGTGACAAGGGCACCTGAGGAGTCAGGGTGAAAGCCATGGAGTCTGTTTCTAACCCTATTAGGCCACAGCCTGCTGCTAAATGAGTTGCCACCCCCTTAAAGGATTCCCATGGCCTTCTCACCACCCAGGTCTGAGCAGTGATGCAGGAGTCCCAGTCCTGCACTTCCTGCCTCCCATTATCATGTGGGTTGAGGCCATTGCCTTCTTTCAGGCGTGCGTTGCTCCCTTTGGAAACCTCACTGCTGAGGAAGGGGAGAGGGAATTACTCAGACCAGGAGCCGGGCACAGCTCAGGGTTGAGGAAGGGGCATCAGGATAGCCCAGGGCTGTCACTGCACAGAGAGCAGGGGTAGGGAGGGATGTGGAGCGAGATGACTGAACCTGTCGTGTGTCAAAATGCAACTGGAAACACAAGATGATTGATTTGCTTGAGAGACCAGAGCTTCCTGGGCCTGGCCCCTTTGGAGGTCCCAAGGGAGCAAGGCCTTTCTCAAGGTCTCTCGGTATGGGGGATGTAGATGCCAGGGACCTCACACACAAATCAGATGATTTACCAAGTAATCCCCTCTATGTAACACAGCTGCATCCAACCTCTGAAATAGTCCCCACTTTCTCTCACTGCCTTCCTCCCAACGTGCCTTAAAGGTTTGACAGACATGAATGAATTATTGTCCACGACACCTTGGGAGGAGATGGGCAGCATTCATCCCCATTTTCCATTTTCCAGAGGGAGAAATTGGGATACAGGGAGATTCAGACAGCAGACAGAGATGGGAAAAAGCAATAAGAGTACTGCTACCTTTCCCAAAGCACAAGCCAAAAGTTAGAGAAGTATCTTATGAGATATAAGTCCCCATTGCCTGAAGAAGGGTGTTTGTACACAAAAGTTTGTAAAGAACATTTTCCCCAACTATTGAGTTGGTCTAATAAAAGATATTACATTTACCTAAAAGACCTTGTCATTAGCTATTTAGCCTTACTGCTCTTTTACCTACACCTCTCTTCCTCAGCCTCACACCTATAGCCTTCAGATGCTGGTTGCAATGCCCTGACATCAGTAGAAACACAGTGCAGCATGGGCCATTTAGTAGCACAAGGGACTACATTGGTCAGACATTTTGCCACTCATCCAAAGGGCCAAGAAGAGGTTAAAAACTTCTGCATGCTCTTTGTCTGCAAATATTTTTAAGGTAGCACAAAATGTCCTCATTACCCTCAGGCGTCTCTCACTCCACACTGCAAATCTCAGTGGACTCAAAGGGACACAAGCAAATATGACTGCTGAGATAAAGAGCCCAGAGGGACTTGACATGGAGGCCTTATAAATGATCCCCACACTTTACAAGAGCAGTTCATAGCTTTACACCAATTGCACAACCTACCATGAGCAGAGAACTCAGATCAGCCGGGCCTTGGGTAAGTGAGCTTATTTTGGGAATGTGCTGATCCTGATTCAAAAGCCTCCAGCTGAGTTTAGTGCGTCAGTGCTCTGCACTGCTGGTTGTAGCTGCATTGATCTAAGGACTTAAGCAGACAAGATTATTTCGGTCAATCTGATCATTTTTATTAGGCCAATTAAAATAGTTGTGAACATTTTTCTTTGCCAGTTTTAGGTACAAACACCCTTCTTCAGGCAAAGATTATCTGTGCTCACCATTCCTTCCTGATATGTGTATGTGCAGGTCGGAGAAGAGCACCCAAAAGGTGCCCAAGTCTAAAAGCCTGTGAGGCACCTTTTAGTGCAGGTTGAAAGCAGATAAGTCTTTGATGAGGTCTAAAACCAGAGCCCTGCTGTGCCCAAGGGAAGTGTTAAGCCTCTTGCCATGGACAAACTTTGTTCTGAAGTGAGGATCCCCTGTAGTCGCAGTTAGAGAAGTTACGGAGACTTTGTGCTGGAGAACTCAGCTAGTTTCCCCTGGCGTCAGGGGAGGGTGAGAGGTAGTCCTCCTCCCCAAATTAACTTTGCTGAACACTAGCTCCTATAAACCATTTTTTTGAGTACTCTCCTTTAAAAAACCCTTAATCACCCTTCATTATCAGCAGGTCTTTGATATGTGGCTGGGAGAAAGCCCACAGGGCACTTGGTGCTTTTTCCGTCTCCTTTGGAATTCAGTGCAGCCTTTGCTGAAATATTAAGACATACATCAAGTGTGGGCATCCTGCCAGACTAGTAACTAGGCCCTTTTCAGCTTGGATGTGAGTGAAGAGGAAATGAGCCAGGCTCTGTGCATGCTGGGACCCAGCCAGATGTTTCTTTGCAAGCCTCTCCTTGGAGCCCTGTTTGCAGAGGAAACTCTGCAATGCAGGATGAGAGGTACCTCATCCCACCGCAAGGCACTGTCCTCCTTACCTGATCCTTTTTCTGAAATAACTGCCTTCTGTTCTTGCCTGAGCTGTTCTCCTAAAGAGCCTGCCTGTTTATACACTTCTCTCTTACTTTACCAGGTTGAGTAAGAGGATGAAAAGGATCTTGGGGAATGCCCAGGGCACTCCTTTAAAAATCTGCCCCACTCGCTGCAGGCACAGAAGTTGAGCCTCCCAGACCTCCGAACAACTCCCGTGCTTTTATCATGTAACGGTTGCATGCATGTATAACACTTCTATCAACATGGGTGGGAACTGAAGAGCATCACTGCCTCTCATTCCCCCTGTGGCTCTGCTTGCAAATGATGAAAAATAAGGTGCCCACGGAGCTGGCTGTGTGAAAGGCTTAGGGCTTTTGAGCTGAAGGGTGCCAAGTTCATCTTTGCCTAAAGCAAAAAAACCTCTTGCTAAGGACCTTATTAATGCCTGAGAACTGCACGAGCCCGGAGACCATCAAGAAAGTGCGGGCAGGAGATTTGCTGCAGCTCAGGACACAATCCCAATGGCAGGGCTTATGATCTGATGTTAGAAGTGCCTCTGCAGGTCTCAGCGCATGCTTGATCCAATGAAGGTTTTATTTGGAAAGTACCAGGCATCACAGAGTTGCCAAAGGGCCTTCTCCTCTGAAGAGTGTTGATAGGGCACATTTACACAGGCATTTACTGCACAGTAAGTGGTTTTTACACCAACGTCTATACATGAAACTGTTAAAGAGCAGTAATTCTTTCTGTGGACTGATTTGGAACTATAGTTCATCCCAAGTCAGTCCACACACACAGTGTTACTCTGCAATAAGATGTCTAGACATGTTTTACTACATGAGTTCCTAAAGTAACTAATTGGACATAATACTTTGATACCTGCATCATGCAGGTGTCAAATTTACACCCAAATCAGCATAAGTCACCATAGACAATGCATATTAGGGTGTGCACATGTAGACGTGCATCTGTAATGTGCTTTAATTTTTGATAACTGTGCAGTAAATTAAATTACTGCTCAGTAAATGTGCATGTGTACATGTGTGCATAGTGTATTAAAAAGGGACCCTGATTGTTTTGCCCTGGCTCCCCCTAACATCTGTGGAGCAAAGCAGAGATGAGTGATAAAGATATTAACTGTAATAGCCAAGCCATTGCTGAAGAATAATATCCTGAGAGATTTAGCTGCCACAGACCAGCTCTTAAGGGCTGCAATGATGTCCAAGCACATGATTTAAAGAAAAAAACCTGGTAGAATAGGCATGTGGCCAGAATAGAGCAGTGTTTTGTTTTGTTTTTAATAGCCAGAGAGTCGACAGTTTATTGATACAGACATTGCTGACATAAATCTGTAACAATTGCAGCTGTATAACATCTCTTCATTCCCATTTTTACTGCCCACTCTACTGTTTACACAGCATTGTGTGGCCTTGTCTTATCAAGGCTTCACTCATTGAACAAAAGTCTAATATCGCATAACTGTGTTGTTCTGTAGCAATCCTGCACAAGGTGTGGCATTTGGGAACACAGGCCACCTGCAAGCCCTTTACTTTCTTGTGCTGTGATTCAGTCTTTAGGAAAAACCAAGGTGAAAAGGGAAAAAAAGAGCCACTTTATACCCATATCTTTATATCATTTCTCTCAAACAAGCACATAAATACACTTGCTGTTCAAATATTTTTCTCAGGAAATCTCCTTTGAGTAAGGAGACAGTCGGGAAAACATCAGCCAAAAATGTGAAAGCATTGAGGGTCTTAAACCATAGGCTATTAATAGAAACTATTTAACCCAGGTATCTATACCCATCAGTCCCAATGCAACAGCTCTTACCCCCATGTATACATTCTCCTATGCATACAGTGTGCAATGTCCCTTAGGTTTTGGGATGCCCACTTAGAAAGAACTTGGGAAATATTTGTCATTGCTGTTGTCAGTATGTTCTCTTCCTTCCCAGAGATCAAAACTTGCTGAAAGTGGGATAATGGGGAACATGATCTTCACACAACTGCCATGACAAGTTTCAATCTCACTCACCTCACCCCTTCCACCTTCATCCTGAATGGGATCCCTGGCCTGGAAGCAGATCAAATTTGGATCTCAATCCCATTCTTCTCCATGTACCTCATTGCCATGGTGGGAAACTGTGGCCTCCTCTACCTCATCTGGATTGAAGAAGCCTTGCACAGGCCCATGTACTACTTCCTCTCCATGCTCTCCCTCACTGACATTGCAATGGGCACATCTGCAATGCCCAAGGTGATGTGCATCTTCTGGTTCAAGCTGAGAGAGATTGACTTTGATGCCTGCCTGGTCCAGATGTTCTTCATTCACACATTCACAGGGATGGAGTCTGGCGTGCTCATGCTCATGGCCTTGGACCGCTACATTGCCATCTGCTACCCGCTGAGGTATGGCACCATCTTGACCAACCCAGTCATCACTGCCATGGGGCTGATCACTTTCCTCAGGGGGGTCATCCTCATCATGCCCTTCCCATACTTGGCCAAGAGGCTGCCATACTGCCACACCAATGTCATCCCTCACACCTACTGTGACCACATGTCTGTGGTGAAGCTGGCCTGTGCCAGTATCAGGGTTGATGCCATCTATGGCCTCATAGTTGCCATGTTAATTGGGGGCTTTGACATCCTCTGCATCTCAATCTCCTACATTATGATCTTCAGGGCTGTAGTTAGCCTGTCTTCCAAAGAAGCTCGTAGGAAGGCCTTTAGCACCTGCACAGCCCATATTTCTACTATTACCATCTCCTACACACCAGCTTTCTTCACTTTCTTCACACACCGTTTTGGGGGTCACATTATCGCACCACATATTCACATCATCATGGCCAACCTTTACTTGCTTTTGCCCCCAATGCTCAACCCCATTGTATATGGGGTGAAGACCAAGCAGATCCAAGAGAGTGTCATTAAGCTATTTAAGGGAGGAAAGGTTGGAGAAAAGTGATGGGTATTACACAAAAATCAGGCTAATTATGGTGGGGACAAAATGGCTCCCCCTTCGCGTTCTGATATGAACACCAAAGGTACAAGTACCAGAATGCAAAAATGGTGGGGAAGGGAGGGTGTCTACTGAAATTAATAGGTGGCAGGTTTAGCAGAAAGAAGTAGCATTCTTTTTTCTACCCAACATATATTCCACATACATTGTGGAATTCATCACCCCAGGATTTTGAAGAGGCAGAGTATGGCCAGGTGTAAAATGGTTCTGTAAATGGCACCCACCTACCATCTTCCCAAGCCCCAACAAGGCTCTTTCATGTTGAAGTTGTTTAATAAGGCTTCATACCCAGGCAGGGGTTTGTTGGTTGCAGGTGGGGAGATGCTTGTTGTGTTGGATGCTCAGTCTGTATATAGCTCTGTCAGAGATCCACCTCATAACTGCTGACTAAACCCACTAGATAATCAAATATATTTTAATGCAGACATGTAATATCTCCTGTAAATATGGCCCTTTATGTGTCGGAGAACAGATAATGTCTGTTCCAGTTCCTTGCAGTCCCAGACTTTGTAGGGTTGGAAAGGACATCTAACCTGGACTGAGGCAGCATTCACATTTGTTATCTATACCAAAAAGATGCTTCTCCAGACTCTTGAAAACTGTGAAGAAGAGAAATATACAAACTCCCACCATGCTTTACTCTGTTTTCCTACTGTTAAGAATATTTTTATGCAATTTTTTTTCTATATCCACTTTATTTCATTCTACTCCTGCTTCTCTGACATGGAACTCATGGCTGACTGCCCTCTACCCTCCTCTCTGAACCAGAAACAATATCGCTTGTCATCCTTCTAGCTACGTATGCCTTCCTTTCTTTTTTTCTAATGGACCAGATTCAACAGAAAGGATGGAGAGTGTTCTTGGCAATACCTCACCAATGACCTGGGATTTAGGGTTCTGCTGGGAAGGGGAAGTTATAAATTCAAACTACACTAATAAGAGAGGCCCCTAATCCTGGACTAGTGCCCCATGAAGTAGGCTATTTTATTCTCTTAAATATGGGAAATTCTTCCTCTGGTAACAAATACACACTAATTGTGCTTCCTCTGGAAGTAAAATTTCAGGGGACAAGTCTACATGAGACGCTTAATGCCCATTGGACTAATTCTCCTGCACATCAGCATGGCTGGCAAAAACCGTGCTAATGCACAGTAGGTTAGTTCAATGGGCATTAAGCGTCACCTAAAAAGTGTTCATCTGCGCTAATGCTCAGTAGCACCAATTACAGCACATTAAGTTAGTACTTGTTTTTACAAGTACTAAACTTAATACACCATAATTACCGCACATGAATGAACATGTAGATGCACCCAGAGACTTGCATGCAGTTTCCTTGCCTTCCCGAGTGGATCACAACAAAATGCAAGAGGCAACAGGGGATTCTTTAGGTGGGGGAATAAGATCTAATGTGTGCAAGGGGTACAAAATGCACTTACATAGAAAGCTTTTTAGCCGTGTCAGTGTTATATTCCCAACCTAAGGGGATTTGAAGGTAGCTCTTTATGCTTTGCTGTATTTTTCTCCCCATAGATAGAAGAGAAGTTTAAATCCCGCATTTTTACACATTCTCCTTACCAGCATGAAGAATGCCCTGTCTACTTCTCCTTCCTGATTTAGTTGTCTGTAACACAGCCCATCCATAATATCACTATTCTTCTTTCCCCACTTTATCTTTACCCATATTCCCTCAACAATTCAACTACTCTTTTGCTTTTGGATGTCAGAGCAGATAGTGAAAGTCTCCCTCCTTTTTTGCCACCTATCATATGGGAACAAGCTATACCCCTCATTATGAATGTTTAGTCATGGGAAATATTTCTCCATGTTTATCTAATACCAATTAAGCCATAATTTCCATTACAGTTCATCCTGCTGCTTCCCCTGTCTTGCATTTCTACCCCTCAAACCAGAATTTAATTAAGTTGACCTGTGCTGACAGGAAGGTGAATCTTCTTGCCTATGGTTTGATTGTTATCATGTCTGCCACTGGACTGGACTTACTGCTGATCTGCTTCTTTTATATCTTCATTCTTTGCACTTCTTGAGTTAGATCTAGGAGGCACAGATCAAGGTTGTGGGCACCTGCACCTCCCAAATCTGTGCCATCTTCCTGTTCTGTGAGCTGTTTGTTGGCTTGCTGATGGTGCACAAGTTTGGGAAGACACATGGCTCTGTGGTCTATATTGCAATGGCCAATATCCACTTGCTGGTTGCACCAGTGCTCAGCTCAGTAGTGTAGGGGGTGAAAAGATAGCAGATCTGTCAAAGGATGATGAGGCTATTCCACAAGGATGCAAAGAGATGGTTCCTTCCACCTTACCAGGTGCACAGTCACGCTAAAAAAAACCAATGATAATTGTATATGCCTTGGACCCAGAAAGTGACTTGACAAGTGGGGCAGTTCCACGCACATCTTACCCCTGAAATAAACCTGAGGCAGCTCATACTTACAAAATCCAGTGCCTTGAGGCTTCCTTTCTTCCACCAGCCATAGCCATGACCACAGCAACACCAGCAGGGTAAAATGAGGTGAGTCTGTGGGAGCATCGCTCTCTTTTTTGTACCACATCAGTTCTGAAAGAGCTACCTGGACAGACCCGGGGCCCAACAACCTTACTCCATATCAGCGCTGGTGACAGAAGAATGAATCATGTCAAGGAAGCCTACAGGAATTGCCCATCGCCTCATGTTGAATAAGTGAAATGTGGTAACTTCACTCCAGTCACTGGCAGTGCTGTAGTGTGTCATCTCAGGGGTAATTGTGATATATTTGTATTAGTAGGCTCTCTCCCTCCCAGGCTCTTTATGGCAGACAGTGCCAATAAGGCCTAAATATAACATGATTGTCCATGTGCTTGAAGTACTCTGCTGTTTCTGTCAACCTGGGTGCAACTACACAAGATGCCTACTGCGCATTAGCCTAATAAAACTGTGCAGTTGAGTGTAATGGCAAAAACCACGCTAATAGCCTACTGCACCGAGTTATTAAGCTAATGTGCAGTAAGACTAATTAAATAACCATGTGATGGCATTTCTGTGCAGTAACTTCAGGTGCTGTGCATTTAATTAGTTCTTTATTAAGGAAGTACTAAATTTAATGCCCAGTATCTAAGGCACATTAATGTGTAGATACGCCCCCTGAATAGTAATCATTCATTCAAGTATCTTATGGCCGGGTGCATTTTTTTTTCCTCAGAGCGAAGTGAGGGAAACCTTTTAGGCCCTGCAGGACATTTTCAACAATCCCTTAGTTTTAAAGGGATTTCAGCTCCTTAAAGGGATTATCTGCAAACTGTGTTAGAGATGTCGACTGGGGCTGATCGGATGGTACTGACTTCACTTTGTTTAGACTTGTTAAATCACAGTGACAAAAGCCACGGCTTTTTCTTAGTATTTACTTTTCAGTTAAGCTGTTACTATCACATCTGCAGGGATGCAATGCAGACACAGATGTAAAAGGATGTTTCTGTAAAACAGTTCCTGTATTAAAGGGGTCTGGGCTATGAAAAGGCCTGTAATGCTGGGCTGCTACAGGGAGCTGAAGTGGTAATACGTTCCGGCACTAGCGTGTCCTAACACTGAACTCACTGGAGCATTTCCATTATTACTGGTGATGCCTTTACTTAAGATTGCTTGACACTAACCTACATGGGATTGCATTTCCAGTGGGCTTTACCTTTGCTAATCTTAAACCATTTGGCTGTTTTCTATGGAAAGTTTCAGCTAAAATATAGGAACAAAATACATTGTTGTGCTCATGTGTGTAATTATAGTAAAACAGGACTGGGAGGAATGTTGGGGTTACCTATCATTCATTTTTGCTTCTTTTAAAAGCCCCAGTGCCCCATTCTTTGGAAAAAATAACTTGGAGTTTGGAAAGGGGATGACTGATGGGCAAGTTACAAGCCAGGGAAATCTTAGTTTGTTCATGTTCAATGGACACATGTAAAAAAGTCTGTCCTCAGTGGACACATTCCTACCTCCCCACATTGCCCCTACCTGTGACTGGACCGAATAGGAGCTATCTGCCCCAAGAAGCAGATCATGATTCACCCCAAGCAAGCAAAAGCTGGACAACATGTCCCCTGTAATTGCACCTTACTCAGGCCACTGTGACCTTGGATGTTGTACCTGAGAGCAAAGAGCCTGGTCTTCCCATGGGAGAGATTAGGTAATCCTCATGCAGCACTTGGGCTGTCCCCAAAAGCCTGGAAGGAGTTTGTCCTCTCCTCTGAAAACATGCAAACCATTGTGTGGAGGCTGGGTCACAGATCCTGATGTGGACTCTGGTCTCTTGGTTAATGAAAGGCAAGCAGTCATCTGAGTGTGCTGGAAACTTAGAGCGCTAAGGAAGCTACAGTGAAGAGCCTCTTTACAAAACTGCTCGCTGAGGCTGGAAATGTCCCAACAGATCTCTCTCTCTTCTCTAGGGTTTGGGAAAGGTCAGTGATATAGGGGCATCCCTCTACCCCCCATCAGCTTCTGGAGTACTCAGCTTTCTTCAGCCCTTTGAAAGCAGGTTGTAGACCTACATTAAGTACAAAATCTATTGGCTCTCCCTTAAATCACAAGGGCTGTAGCAGAAGGCTTTTCTGAAAAGTCTTCAATGAAAGCTCTGGGGTCAACTTGGAGAGCAGCAAAGCAGCCTTCATAATAGCCTTTGAAGAGGACTCGAAGCTGGGCTGAGACCCAAGGAAGGGGTAGAAACGCCCTGAAACTCAAGGTGCTGAGAATGTCATCCTTATATTGCCCACGTCCAAGATAGCAACCTTCTACTGCTCCCTTCTCTGGTGCTTTTCGAGTATTACAATTGTGATAAGTATTAAAATGATTTAAAACAACATGTCTTTTTCACAGGCCTGATGAGTACTGAGGTTGCTGCACCTGATAGACACTCCTGTCCCATGTAGTTGAGGTGCCTTTGGAAAAATAGCAAATGAAAAATT